CCTTCCTTATCTCCCCCTACGGACCCCCCCCCTCCCCTTTGGACACCCCCCCCTCCACCCACCCACCCCTTTCCCCACGTCCTTGAAAACCGCAGCATGCCCGAGTGCCTACCGCCAGGAAGTCGTTCTTTTTTCCCGTTTTTTTTTTTTAAGTGTTTTAGTGACTGGCTCCATTTCCTCTGGAGCTGAATTGCTTCGTGCATGAACCAGCCCCCCCCCTCCTTCCCCCCCCCTTCCCCCTTCACCCCATCCCCCCCCCCCTCAAGCCTCGCATGCAAGTAACTACGAGCGCTTTTGAATTATGTATATGTATTTTATATGCATGGATTGCACATAGTTACTGTTCGTTCTTTAATAACAAGCAAAGCAGAAAAAAAAAACAAATTAAAACAATAAATATGAACGATATTAAGGGCAGGATGTTTATTTGTGTTGATGATTTTCAGGGGTTGATATATATATTTCACTTTTAATTTGGTTCGTATATAAAAAAAAAAAGTAATTGAAAGTAATTAATAGATACTGCATTACTCGGCAAAGATCACTCATGGATAGATTGTATCCCAGTCTATAATCAAAGAGAATTTATTTAGGAAAAGGAATTAAGGAAAATATATTTTGGAGGCGAAATCAGTTTTCCTGGAATTTCAGCTGTAGTGAGTAATGCATAGAACAGTATTTTGTAATTAATTAATCATTACTGAACTTGCTATGATTTTTAGATGAACGGTTAGATTCCATGGCGTAGTTTTATATCAATTCATTAGCTAAATTGCCATTTGAAATTAAATATAAATAGTATCACTATCTCAGCAGTAGGAATAGTGCTATGTACCTACAGAAAAAAAACCTGTGTGATGTATGTATTTAGAGATGTAATTTGCACTATTTTGCGAATGCTGCTTTGATATCCTGTGGCTGTTTGCAACACGTGTAGTGGGCTTCTCTTATCTCCATCGTGCAAGCCTGTTTTCCCCGTCGTGCTTTGCGTTGATTGATATTTTTTTCCTTCTTTTTTTTTTTCTTTTTACTCAGACGAAATGTTTTTGTTTTTGTTTTTCTTACTTCTCTGCCCTTTGTCCCTTCGTTATGTGTTTGTTGACACCATCGTTCCTTTTTTTTATGTATGTTTGTTTGTCTCTCAGTTTGTTTCTCTCTCTCTCCCACTTCTCCCGTCCCGCCCCCCCTTTTTTTTCCATTTTTTTCCCCCCCGAGTTCTTTCCGTCTGCGTGACCTTTTCTTTTTCGCCCCTCTTCCTTTCTCCCTTGCTCCTCCTCCCCCCCTTTTTTTCCCGCTGGCTGTGACCTTTGACCTAACCTCGCCCGGCCGTCTCTGTTGCCTTGCAGACGACCCAACAGCGGTTCGCTCCACAACCTGAACAACCTGAGGTCATCCACATCTCAGCTTAACCTCACCAGACACGGGTAACCCCTTATGTCAAAAAAACCCATTTTCTTCCTTTTCGGTCCTTTTTGTGGTTTTCTTATTGCTTTTTTTTTCTTTTTTTTTCTTTTTTTTTGATTCTCCAGCTGGTTTTGGGGGGATATTATATACTTATAATGGTTGTATTTTATTTTATTTTTTTAATTGTTTATTTCGTAATTCTTCTTTTGGTGCTTGTTTTAACTTTTAATTTATTTTTTTTGGCAGGTGGTATATATTTCATATGTTTTCTTTTGTCTTTTTTAGTCTTTTTCTTTTGTATAGTTCTCTCTCTCTCTCTCTCTCTCTCTCTCTCTCTCTCTCTCTCTCTCTCTCTCTCTCTCTCTCTCTCTCTCTCTCTCTTTCCCTTCTCCCTCTCCTTCTCCTTTTTTCTTTCCCTCTCTCCCAATCTCCTTCCTCCCTTCCATCTCCCTCCTTCCCCTCTCTCTTCCTCCCTCCCCTCTCTCTCCCTCCCCCCCTCCTTGCCTCCCTCTTGTTTTCCCTTTTCCCTCTCCCTCTTCCTCCCTCCTTCCCTCTCCTTTTCCCTTTTCCCTCTCTCTCTCTCTCTCTCTCTCTCTCTCTCTCTCTCTCTCTCTCTCTCTCTCTCTCTCTCTCTCTCTCTCTCTCTCTCTCTCTCTCTCTCACTAATCTGCTTTTACTGATCAAATATCTCTATCTGTCTAGGTAGTGTAATATTTATTTCCTTATTTATTGGAATATTATATTACATACTAATATATTTACCAATACGTAAGTATATATATATCTTTTCAGTTGTTTTTGTTTATTTGTATTTCAAAGTAAGACTGCAGTTACTGGAATCTTCACAAATGTATAAATCCAAGGATGATGTAAATAAAAAAAAGAAGTTATCCTCAGATTGTTGTCTTGTCCTTTTACTTTCAATTTATCATATATTTTTTTTCTCTTCAATAAAGAGAGAATGATTTAGAAGTCCAACAATGTGAAATTAAAAGCACTTACAAGGTTCTTACGATGTCACGACCCAGAGCTGACGCCTGACTATTCCACAGAGCTCGTGAGGCCCAATACAACCCAGATGAAGGGGTCGTTAAGA